GTAGAAAGATTTTCAAGAAAGAGCGTCATCAGAAACTTTTAATAATACAGTGTAAAATTATTCTGACACGTTATGATTGATTACAAAAATAATATAAATATAATAAACTGTTCTATAAAAATACGTACTCACTATAATTGAAATTTTGTCTGATCATTCAGCGGTTTACTCAGCGAGAAAATGGATTAATTTTCCAATTGAATTAGCACTTTTTGATCTAACGCTTGTAATTTATTGCCATAAGCTGATATTACGCCAGAGATAATCCCCTCTTATCTCTCGTATAAAGTAAATATCATCTATGTGAAATGATCCTTGTAATAACGGATACCGAAACTCGAGCATGTGTCAAAATTCATAAGATTTTTTCGCTAAGCGGTTCAATTAAATGAAAGACCGTCACTTTAATTAATAAAGTGGGGTCAAATTAAGTTCAAGTGTTGCCGGCAGAGAATAATTGGAATGATCAAAACCTGGCATTGATCGTCTGCTTTAAAATAATAAAAAATGCAGGAGACAGCGCGAAGTTTGGATACCTCACTCCATACTTTGTTTACCTGCGGCTTGTGATCGATGTTCATCAGTAATTTATCATTTTTCTGGTGTTACTACTAACTTTGTTCGTTAGTATTATTTCCATGTATAAATTTGCTGAACTTTTATCGTAGCCACAAACAGGTGTTTATCGATAGATATTATCGAACAGGTGCAAGGACTTGTAAGGTTGTCCTTTTTGTGATGTTTCAAGTAGGAGCAATTCTAATGTTTCATTTCCATGATCGTCGTTGACATTTCCATTTACCGTTTACGGGGCAATTTGTAGCCGTTTTAACGCCATACGGTAGATATTACAGAACATTATATATTCCTGCAGAGTGTAAGCAATTTTTTAGAGTTCAGCCCTTCTTTATGGATGAGACGTCCAAGTTAATATATTGCGGGTCAGAGTTTGTAATATTCGAAGCTAAGAATCAACATCAGATCTTGAGATTTGAATATATTGTGTTGTTTGTCAAGTCAATACAGTGTTTGCAATTTTAATCTATTTCTGATTTATTGTCTGTCGAGTCCGCTCTGAATTGATTTAAAAGTTTTAAATGGGATGTAAATGCCTTCAACTGCTTTAGGACTAGATTTGGAATACATAACATTGTTTTAAATTTATATTTTTTCCACACGGAGTAGATTATATTTCAGATTACATCGTAACTGATGAAGCAACATCTGAAGGCAGTAGGAAGATGTGTCAGGATTAAAATAAATTTAATTAAAAATATTTCAGTATTATAAACAAAATTTTCATAAAATGTGATCTTTTAAAGTGCAAAATTAATTTGTGTGGCCGACCAAATTTCCTTTTTTAGCTTTCTGGAGAGTAAATGAAATTTTACTCTTGTAGACGGTGGCAACTAGATTTAGTATACAACAAATAAATAACACTATTTTCTTTCGATTAGTTCGTGGTGGTAGTAATTAAATGGGTGTGTGAGCATGAAGTAATAAATTATAAAAGTTGAAACGAAATAATTATTGACCAGTCAGGATGAACCAACATTTTTTTGTTCATATCATGTACGAGAATTGTGTACTATACTCGAGCTAACTTCTCCAATATTTATACGTTTTAAGTTCTAAAAAGATTTCATGCTGTTGTATTCTTAAATTTTATTATAAAAATGGCAAGAATGTGACACTTGCTTCAATATTTGTATACGTTTCTGTGTGAAGTATGTTAAAATGCTTCTAATATCCTTAAAAATATATATATATATATATATTTTAAAGTAGATTACTTCAAAAAATTAATCGATAATTTAAACATGTTACCGTTATTTTTTCAAGTTTATTTACGTTTTAAAAACGTTTTCTAATCGCGCTGAATGTGATGTTTTAATTTGAAGTTTTATTTTTAACAAGACGTTTCCACATTCCCTAACCCCCCGCTACGTTAACCTTAACCTACTTTAATGAGGTAAATATGGTATGTTTTTAGCTTTTAAAGAAGTGTCTAGCCTAAGAATTGTCTGGGCCCAAAACTCCATTTTTTTATTTCATGCTGTATAATAAGACCGCGGTATTTGCGGCATATATGAAGTTATTAGTTAACATGTGTCAGCGAAAATCATTTGAAATTCAAGCAAGACCTAAACTATGAATTTAAATCGCGTTATATTAAAAAAAAACTGAGTGCGAGATATATGCAATTTGCATAACGATTATTTTTAATGTGACAGCTACATTTGTTAAGATCGGCACGAGCTGATTATTTTGCATATTTTTACATATTTTTGCATATTTTTTGATTTCGGACGAATTTTACCTGTATATGTCAAAAAATTCAATTTTCTCAAAACTGCAGCGTAGCAAAAGTATTTTTTTAATTCCCACTCTGAATTTGGATAAATAACCAAAAAGGGAAGGGGACTAAAGGTTGCCTATATTTTTTTTGTAAATAATAATAATTTTTAAGAACTACAGCAAACTCGTAAACTGATTATTATAATGTTAAAAGTAATAACAAATTTATAAAATATTATTGTTCTAACCACAGAAAAATTTATGCTTTAAATTATTGTACTATATTGAGTGAAGATTTTGAAAATGTTGACGTTAATTTAAAGGCTAATGTACGCAATGTTTAAGAATGCACGTTGATGCCGAACGAAGTTCTTCACCAAAGTAGTTATGGATAACTACCTTATATGATTAATTAAACACGTGTGTACAATCAGGTGGATGACTAATTGTTAGTGGTAAATATTTACATCTTTTTTACGCATATTTAATTTCCACGTATGAACTTAATTAAGTTCAGACTGTAGTTATTACTTATGGGTTTACGTGGAATTGGCTTGGAGTTAGTGGTACTAATGACAAAATTTAAATACAGTTAACATGGTTCTATTATCATCATGAGGTGGCGTATGGTCAGCTTAGTGTATAGATTTTAGGTTAATCAGCTTTGTCGACTGCAACCGAGAGTTGTAACTACATAATTGTAATCATCAAGGAAGGAAAAACGTGGAAAAATACCAAAATAAGTACATCTAATAAGTGTAGTTTAGTGAGTGAATTTTAATAGCTTTCTTATTCACTGATAATGTCTTAACGTTTTTGTAACGTAATTTTTAATCATACTTATTTTATTTTTTATCAAAGAGTTTCAACAAACACTGCCTAATTACATGTTTGTTGTTTGAAACAGATACCCACTCTCTTTACACAATAATATCCAAAATAAATTGAATTTACTACCAGGTGCGTTCAAAACAAATATTTACGCAATGCTCGAAAAGAATTGTGTGAACAAACTTTATAAACCAATAAATCTATTTTGCTATTGTTCTGTGATAGTTTTATTAGATTTCCTGAAATTTCTGCACAAATTTGTTAAGAGTTAAATAATGTAATGCAGTGTAGATATTTCATCCTGGTTCATGCGAATGGTAGAAAATAATTTCATCTAAACGTGTCATTCCACTTTATCAAACTTGGGTAACTTGAAAATTAAGAATATATTTTTTGGTACAAAAGAACTAGCGCTACAAATTCAAAAAAATCCTTATCGTAATCGAACATAAAAAAAATGATGGAAAAATGATAGTTTAAAACGTTTCACCTCATTTATATAGATAACATGATTATATCAGACAACATTGTTGCTAACAATAGTAATAGCGTTTATAGTAACTTAAATTTTTAATTACGTTTGAAGTGGTTTTAAATTACTAATTCATGGAAGCACGAAACCACCGTTCTAGGTTCAAAATAGGGTCTTTTTTCTGTTTTATTACTTTTAAATTAATTTACTTGATTAGTTGCTGTATTTTTTACAACAACTTTTTTTGGCCCAAAAACTCAATTTATACGGTTCCAACACGGAAAACGATCATGTATTGATTCCGACCGTGCAGGCCTCCGAAATTATTGACACAAAAAGTCCACAAGTTTCGCGTTTCATCAATAATCCAAAACTGAAGATGCATCCTTGTTCGTAATGAAACTCTTGAACATATACTTATTATAATTTTAATTTTTATTTTCTTCATTTTAAGCTTCTAGTGTATACGAAACTTTGATGTTAAAAATGAATAGGTATATTGTGGGTCGGTCTTGCATACGAAATTGCGAATGAGTTAACATTGAACACCTTTTTAATACAGTTTGGGTTTTAATTGCGCATTTATTGCAAAATAATTAGCAGTAAACTTAAAAAACCATTTTCGTCTAGAATTTAATTTCAGAGCAGCGGTTGTAACCACAAAATGTAATTGCTTAAAGTGTTAATCGGTCCAATACTTATTGAATTTGGATTAATATCGAACCGTGATAACGACGTTTATTACACGATTCATTTCTCACACTGCCCACTAAAGTAAATTTTTTTGTAAGTTGGCTTTAAAAATGGCACTTATTGGTTTTCGTTCTTCAACATGGTGTGTTATAGTGTTCAAACTAACGGCCCTTATTTTCTATTATCTATAGTCTAGTAAACAAATGTTTTACGCTACACTACGCTAGAACTTCAAAGTAACTAAAAGTTTTTATTTTCCTCAGATAAATCCACCTGTTATCTACACCTTTGCCTTCTAAAACGCAGTCCTTTGACAGCGTTGGGCAATCTAGAATGAGATTAGAGAGAATATTTTATATGCAGCCATTGAAATAATAAAAATTCTACTATGATAGTATGTAGTATAATTTGTAAATACATATGTTGTCTATTTCCAAAGATGAGAAGTAAAAAATAAGCCAAGATTTAAGTCCTTGAATCTGATATGTTAAACATATGCGTATTGAGCATAATTATTATCTAAATGAAGTTACTAATATCAGAATATTAATAAATTACTTGCACATAGAGGTTTAGTGTTAACCATATACGAGAAACCATAAAAATACATTTAAAAATGAGTGATCTTTATATCATTTCATTCACTGCAAAAATCCGTTTTTAATACTTTCTGAGGACTGTATCTTTAACCGAAGTATTTTTGCAGGACCAAGAGACCTATTACGCAAAGTGAACGGCGAATTTTGTGCCGGCGAACTAACAGCAATAATGGGTCCTTCCGGTGCTGGAAAATCAACCCTCATGAATATATTAGCAGGATACACGTAAGTTGAAATAGTACGTTTTATTAAAGGATTACTCAATTACATACAATTTCTGCATTAATTATCACTTAGCCTGATTACTTGTAAACATGATTAGCATAATAATAATTCTCATTTATTGTGGAAACGGTTAACCTGAAAATCGACATTCCCATTAACTGCGTATTGATATCTCCATTTAAAAAAACAAACACTTCTGATTAAACAAGATAATAGGGTATTGGTCGCGGTGGTTGTTTGCATCAAACGATCAAGATCGGAGTGCAAAACCTTCACTGAAGGATATAGTTACCGTTTTGGCAAAAGTTTTTATCGAAATTTGTGGGGAAAGTAACGACTTGGTTCGAGGTCAGATTATGTAAAGACTAAATTGAAATGCATTCAAGCATTGTTAAGATTATGATTTATTGTTAACATCATTGCAGCGATTGAATTAAGTTGATTGGTTTGTTAGTGGCAATTTTTTTAGTGTCATGGTGGCGTTGTACTTTTTATTCACAATGCTGTATTGTAGTTTTGTATTTTTTCTATTCCGAGAAACACGAAATTGATAGGTACGACATCAGTTATTTTTAATATATGTTGATTTTTTAAAATGGGCATTAGTTATAATATACTAGATGACAGGTATCACTTTGCGGATAGTTGATCAACTAACAATGGATAGATAATAATTTGTATCAAGTTAATTATCAGTAAAGGACGCAAAACTTAATCATTTGTAGGGTTACCAGTTTTGAAATTTGCTGTGTTTGTGTTGTACATATGTTAGATAACAAACTAACTATGTTGGGGTAACGCTATTTGAATATAATCTGACATCGTTGAGCAAAAAGTGACGTATTTTGACTGACAATAAATTGCTAAAATAGTTATCGTCAAGTCAATATTTGTACCAAAGTAACCTTTAGTTGAGTAACAAAAAAAGTATATTATGTTGCATAAAATGTCATTTTGTTTGTGTTCATAACAGATTTATAGTTCAACCATTGCAATAAAATCCGAACGAATAATAAAAGTTTTTCCTCGTCATATTTTAGGTATGACCTTTAAAATGCCACTAAATTTAATTTTCACCAAGACCAGAAGGAAGTACTTCAAAATGTGATTTCAACAAATAGACACGTTGGTTTTATGTATAATATTTATGCACCAAACTCATAGTCACACTCATTTCTATTTTGTCCTAATTCAAGGTTTACCAGGAGAAGTGTTCTCAAAATTAAAAAATTAAATGTGTTTTTCCAGGAACTGTGTTACATTTAGTTCTTTTCTCATGGGAAAACATTTTATGCGAACTCACTCGTAATATGCATATTACTGTGGTGTTTACGACTACAGGGTATGTTCATTCGCTAGTAGGTCAACAAACCTCAAAATCATTAAAAAGTACGCGCCGAATTTAATAAACACAAATGAGTGATTCCTTTTTTCACGATCCGTAAAGATAAATTGTCGACTGTACCTAATTATTGATGCCAAATGACAAATCGCGTAATCGGTAAAATAATGGATTCATTCATTAATTTTTGTATGAAACATGTGTCAGTAGATTGACTACATAAAAAATAAATCATAAATATTTTTCTTTGATTAGTTTTTTGAAATGTACCTAAAATTAAATTTTAGCGAAGTCTGTTGTACTATAAAGTCAATAAATTTCAAGAGACATTCCTTCAGTTTGATGATAATCTTGAAGTACAGATATCTAAAATACCAAAATAATCAGTTCCGCAGTTTCAAACTTTATCTGCCTATTTTAAAACCGTCGATGGACGACAGATAGGCAGACCACAGACAGACGACAGACAGATTGTATTTTACAAGTTATAAAATTCTTCTTCAAAATGATTCCGTTGCAGTCCTTTACCTAGTTTACGCTCGGGAAATCTCGCTTGCTGAAAATTTCAAATTATTGGAGTTTGGTGAAATAAAAATAGCACTGTTAGATCCATAATGTTTGGATATTTATTTATACGATGGCGTGAAGTCCACAGCCTTACTGCTTATTATTTTTTTGATATTCGAATTTTGTCGATGTCGATTCCAGTGTTTTCTAAACGTTCTTATTTCAAACAGTATTGAGTTCAAGGTTTAAAGGACAAGGCACACATTAGTTTTTCCGCAGTAGGCGTAAATATTTAAAAAAATACTATCACTTAATTTTTTATATGTACCTAGTACGGGTCGCAAACTTTCTTGATACTAAAATTAAAACTGTTAAGTATGACGCTGCTATAATTTATAACAAAAAAATCCACAATCCTTAAAAAATCGTCAACCAGCCCATCCTTTTACGGATTAATTGTAGCTGCAATTTAGATGTGTTCAATTTATAACTTTTAATTATAAAAATGCAGAAATCACAACTTTCTATGAATTTCTTTAATTGTGCAACCAATCGATCGGCATGAGTCATGATAAGTTTCGAGATTACACCAGTGCATCAACAATTTCCACAACATCCTTATCAACAAATTTATTTTCTTTTATTAGGGAAACAAATAATTATCAAGACCACCAGCTGCATCTTCGAAATTTATTCAATTGATTAATGATGATTGATTGTTGATCTTTCTCAAGCTGAACATTCAACCGTATAAACCGAGTCTTTGATTGTTTTACAACTTCTGTTTGCATAATGCAGTCTTCCCGGTACACTAGCACTCGACAGCGAGTGACTATATTGATCTCGGGCAGGCTGAGTACACGTGCACCGAACGCAGAGTAACCGTTGTTTTCCGTACACTAGCACCGACGGTACATAAACACATGGTTTTCGTTTCGTAGACCTCTTGGTGGTCTCTTTTTGTTTCGTTTACGTTCCATCATAATGGGGTTTGCCCACTCCGTTCGAGATTATAACACTCGACTGTAAATTTTCAAGGTTTTAGCTAACTATTTTAACCTGAATAACTCCTTAAAGTATGTTTTTATCTTGATTACACATAACAAATTTTATGAAAATAGAAGTATTTAAAATTATCTCCAGTTACTATACGAAAATGAAATATTTGTTATTCATTTATCTGATCTGGGAGACCTGTGATTTTTTTATACTTCAGTTCTCACTTTATTTTTTAATGTCTATTTTATTGTCAGACTAATTACAATTAAATTAAGGAAACAGCTTGTCTAATACAATACTTCCTGGTATTAATTTTTAGGAATTACAAATATTTACGTCTTATTTTTTGTATAAATATTACTTATTATTATTACTATTAGTCTTTTTTAATATCTTTGCAAATAAAGAAATTAATGTTACATAATCTGCTATTTAAAGAATGCTTAATATTGACAACATTAATTTATATAGTATCAAAGGTATAACAAAGTTTGCCAAAAGAAATTATTCGCATATATGCACGTTGAGTGTATTCTTATTCTCTCCCTCTACGCGGAACAACGCACAGACCAAATGTCCCAGAAATTGAATTTTGGCAAAAATTTTAAATAACAGATTCGAGGCAATTATTGTATTAGTTATTGGCATTAATTAAAACGGATTATTTTAAGAAAGCTTTCAGGGACAATTATGTGGCCAACTTAATAACGATGAAGGATTTATTTGATTTCAGATCTCAGTTTCTTCACAGAGAGAGTCGCACGTTTGAATAAACCAAAAATAGCGGGAGATGAATTCTAAATCACAGCCACTCGTGTTAGTTGAAATCAATAAATTTAAAATAAAATTGAAATGATGAACATTTTTCAATAACATTTTGTGTCGCCCCTTATCACAGCATTTAATTCATAAAGTTGTCGGAATCTGATCGGAGAACTAAGTGAAACCCAGTAAAAATAAACATATACAAACTTTTCGGTGATGGAACAATTTGTTGGTCGATATTTATATCACGGAGTATCTACAGGAGGAAAACATCTCTTTCCCAGATTCTACGCAGAATGAAACCTCTTGTATTGTTTAAACGTCGTGGCAATAATATACCCAACGTTGTAAATTAGCATTATCTTAACGTACAAAGTTAATGACTAAACATAAAAACATTTCAATAGGACCAATTAGAAGTTTTAATTTCCACTAAATATAGTACATGTGGTGTTAACGTTGTTTCATGTTTTTCGTTTTTTAAGTAGAACCATATGATTCGATTTCCTTTATTTTAGAGGTTGTATTTTAACATTTAGAAAAAAAATATTTTATTTTTTACAGCAGCGGACGAATTGAATATGAAACTCTCTAAACAAAGATATTAAGTACGATTGGTTATCTCATTTAAGTACTATGAAGTTTGTACTTTAGAAATTACTGTGGCTCAGTCATTGACCCGACTTTGATGAAACATTCATTAAAAAATAAAAAAAGGAAATAATATTTCATAGAACCTCAGTAATGGATATAAGTAGTTTAATTTGTAGATGTGATACGTTGTTGTTTATTATCTTGACAAATAAAGGTGCTGTTTGTGGTGTATTATTATTTTTTCTAGTTTTAATAATGCGTGTAGCTATTAAAAATTCCAAGTATGCACCGATGACGTGAAATTTGAGATATTAAGATTATCGTAAAGATAATTAAATACTAAAACTAACTTATCATATTTATCCACTACAAACACTCCATGACGTCATTTCAACATATTGTCTGGTCTAGTAAACTGTATCGGACAGGTATTACTTTACTTCTGTTCATTTAGCTAATTTACTGATATTGAAGTTTCATTTATTTCGTATTTTTTGTAGCTTATTTTAATATACTTATTAAAAAAAAAATTGGAAGGACAAGTAGTAACAAATAATGGTGGTGTCTGACCAAAATTTTTAAGAAGTTACGTAATCTTTGAGATAACAAACCGTAAAATAATAATTTCAGATTTATTTATATGATTAGACAAATCTGTGTTAGTTTTTATCACTTGCGCGGTATCTTAAAATACACTGTTATAATTTCAAATTAATCGGTTCGGTGACTGCAGACATTTTCTTCCTAATTAAGTCACCAAAAACCAGGCGAAACTGAGAAACTTGCTTTTGCGTATTCTACCACTTGTGAAACCTAATTAAGTCGGCATGTATTTATTTTCGATACTGACTTTGATCTGGTGGAATTCTTTCTTGTAGTTTTTGATTTTATTGTATCCTTGTTGGTACTTGTCTTATTCCACAAACCGGTATCGTACGTTTAAAAATTATAATGGTCAACAAATACGCTGTTTACTAATAAATTATAAACGTTTCAGGACTTCAGGTGTTACTGGGAAGCTCCTCGTAAACGGAGAAGATCGGGATGAGAGCACCTTTAGAAAACGATCCTGTTATATCATGCAAAATGACAATCTCCAACCCTTGTTAACTGTTCACGAGGCCATGACCGTGGCGGCGAACCTTAAACTTAGTGCAAAATATACTCACAAAGAAAAGCAAACTAGGGTAATTACTTCGACTTACGACACCCGGATCGCAGTATACTTCATTGATTTTTAGATTAAAGAAATATTGGAATCTATTAATTTATGGCAAAACCGGAAAGTGAAGACGTTTTCTTTGTCTGGTGGACAAAAGAAGCGTCTATCAATAGCTTTAGAACTGTTAAAAAATCCGCAAGTTATGTTTTTCGATGAACCCACGAGTGGGCTTGACAGCCTTACGTCGAAGCAGTGCGTGATGCTTCTAAAACAAATTGCGTCAACTGGAAGGACTGTCATTTGTACCATTCATCAACCCAGTGCTATGATTTTCGAAATGTTTGATCATCTTTACGCGGTGTCGAATGGTTACTGTATTTATCAGGGAGCTGTTAAAGGGCTTTTACCGTATCTAGAACAAAGTAGTCTCAAGTGTCCACCTTATCACAATCCAGCGGATTACTGTGAGTATAATTTTGTTATCTGCCTAATTATTATATAGCGATTATTCATCGTGTTTAATAATGCAATTATCTATTTTTAAAACAACGAAAATGCGTTTGATTTTGAAAATGTAATAAATGACAAAACGCACTAAATGTTCTTAGAAGCATTTGTTACAAATATCAATTTATTTTGAAGCGTTACAGTTCAAATTCCAGACTTTTAAAGTAGAAACAGACAATTAATAACATAAAATGTTTCATTTAAATATGTACTTGAAGATAACGTCACCTTATCATGTCATCTAGCGGTTAAGCACCTTAAAATATATAATTGTGTTGTTTCCTGGTTCCTCTATTTTTATGTATATTTGTTTAACATATTAGTAGCAGCTGATTCTGTTTATGACAAAGGTCTTTGTCTTTGAGGACAAGGTTGTTACTCTTTTTGTTCAATAAGATCGCGCAGTAGTGGGATTATGACGTATTTCTTTGTTTACATCGTGAATTATGATTATGCACTAATATGATAATTTCGCACACGGATAACATTTGAGCCGATTAAATAATCCAGTTAAGAACAAGAAAGTTTGTTTTGTTATTAATTTTAAAAGTAAATATAGTTACAAATTTAGGTCAAGCATCTGCGTCGGAGAAACTGGAAAAAACGGTTTAACTTTTTTCCCAATTGAGAAAAACCATCGTTACAATCTTTTTAGTTATGGCTTAAAGTCTACTCTAGCGTAATGAAAATGAAATCTCTTTCATCGGTTACGGATTTGGCTTGAATGTTGTAAAAGTGTGTTACGTAGTTGTGGAAGTACTGTAGGAATATGCATAGTGTAGCGGAGCTTTCAAAGCGCTCCGCTAGTACCCTTTCGAGGGCGCTGTCCTCGGCAGCGCCAGTATCAACCCCACCAAGCTCACCCCCACTGGAACGCACCCCACCTGAAGCTACTTCATTGTGCAGGTACTCCCACGCATCTCAACCCTGCCTATAAAAGGGCAACTCGGACGCTTTTCAGGCAGATGGAACGCCACCATCTCCACCTTAAGGGCTGCACTGTCTCGGTCCCCTTCTGGTGAGCACCGTACAGATGGAACTCCACCATCTCCACCTTAAGGGCTGCACTGTCTCGGTCCCCTTCTGGTGATCACCAGGGCTGCACTGTGTTACGGTCCCCTGCGCCGCTTCGATATTATTACCAGGGCTGCACTGTGTTACGGTCCCCTGCGCTGCTTCGAGATCATCACCAGGGCTGCACTGTTTTACGGTCCCCTGCGCTGCTTCGAGATCATCACCAGGGCTGCACTGTTTTACGGTCCCCTGCGCCGCTTCGAGATCTTCACCAGGGCTGCACTGTTTTACGGTCCCCTGCGCCGCTTCGAGATCTTCACCAGGGCTGCACTGTTTTACGGTCCCCTGCGCCGCTTCAACGACGTCATCTCCAGGGTCGCACTGTCTAGGTCCCCTGTGCCGCATCGCCGACGTCGTCATCTCCAGGGTCGCATTCTCTAGGTCCCCTGTGCCGTATCGCCGACGTCGTCATCTCCAGGGTCGCACTCTCTAGGTCCCCTGTGCCGTATCGCCGACGTCGTCATCTCCAGGGTCGCACTCTCTAGGTCCCCTGTGCCGTATCGCCGACGTCGTCATCTCCAGGGTCGCATTCTCTAGGTCTCCTGTGCCGCACCGCCGACGTCGTCATCTCCAGGGTCGCAGTGTCCAGGTGCCCTGCGCTACATACATCGCCGCCGTCATCCCCTACGACGCTCTGAGTCCCAGGAGCCGCCACCATCCCCGACGAGAATTGCCACCACTTCGATAACCCATACCCATATTTTGCTTTGTATTGTTTGCTTATTATCAATAAACCGCTGAGCTACCACAAACTGTCGCCCTAACGTGGGGCTTCGAACAAGGAAGGATACCACAATCTGGCTCCCCACCGTGGGGCCTTGAAGAAGAGAAAATACCACAATAGTGGTTTCATGGAGTATATACATAAATAGTCATCTTTAAAAATAATTTATTTTGGCAAAAAACATACACATTAAAAGTTATTGATTGACAATTGAATAAAAAGTTATTTATTGTCTTCAAACATAAATGTGTAAAAATATTAACTGACTGTTCACGACCCTGAAGATCGAAATTACATACAAATAATGCAAAAGGAATTTCGTATTAGCAGATAACTTACTAAAAATATTTTCACAACGTTATTCTTGTATCCACTGAAATTTAATTCACTTGATTTTGAGGGGTTGGACGGCAGAATAATAAGGTTGGTTTTAAAGTGAGACAATTTCTAATAACTGTTTTTTTCATTTTGTTTCCCAAGAAATATATGCCTTTTTTAAAAGTATGCCCCTGGGACGGGGTTTTACCTGCTTTAGGTAGGTGCGTGTCATTTAGAATCCATTCGATTCGATCTGCTTTGATTAAATATTAGACTGACGTAATTTTGCACACATTTGATAAATTTGTAAAACTTAATTTAATATTTTTTATTATTTGTTATTTTTTTATAAATGTGTATGCAGTTGATACTAAATTTTACTTCATTTCCCACACCTGGGATCTCATAGACCGGAAGAGACATTAATTGGATTAAATTATAATAATTATAAACTGTTAACCCTTGCCAAGTTTCAAATCGATACGATAATTAGAAGTAGGTCAAAATCGACTTCCTAGATTTGTTTACATAGTTTGCGCAAATTTTATGACAGTTCACAACCTACAATTGGTATTTTCAGAGTTATCTAAAAAATAATGAAATTTGTAATTTCAAAATTTTGTAGCTTTGTTTCAGGTAAAGCCAAAAACAACTACAAAATGAAAATATGTTTCAGTATTGGAAGTAGCCTCTGGTGACTATGGCGACTATACAGAAATGCTATCCAAAAAATCAGAGAACGGCTTAAACAATGAATGGCGAAATAAGCAAACAAATTCCTTGCAGTTCCAGTCCATGGAACACATAGGTGGGATCCAAGTTACGTTATACCCCTTTTTAACTTCTTGGATTTTGTAGACAAGTTAATGGAGAGTGGCTGTATAACTCCCGTAAAGGCCCCACCTATACTTTTTAAAAAAATGACTAACGGAATTGACGTGAAAAAAAGGTCGTGGTTTTGTTACCGCAGTCAATATCCAACTTCTTTTTGCAACCAAATTTACGTATTACTTAAGCGAACTTTTTTATTGATTAGTCGTGATCGAACTTTGACGTTTTCAAGAATTACGACGCATTTGGGAATTGCGTTTTTTATAGGAACTTTGTATTACGGAATAGGAGAAGACGCTTCGAATGTTCTCAATAATTTCAATTTCTTGTTCTTCACTGTCATGTTTCTCATGTTGACGGCGTTCAACTGCGTCACAACAACGTGTAAGTAGAAGTTGTGTAATTGTTTCTCGTTTGTAATCTGTCGTTTGTTACAGTTCCTTCGGAATTGCCAATAATCACTAGGGAACATTTCAATAAATGGTATTCACTCAAATCGTACTACTTAGCAATAACTTTAGCGGATATACCTATACAAGTGAGTATTTGTTCAGTTGTAAGAATGTCATAATTTTTTTTGTTTGATAGATGGTAGCGACACTACTGTATGCGGTGATTACTTACTTTCTTACCATGCAACCTGTCGAACCATTTCGAATATTTTCTTTCCTCTTCATGTGCATATTAATATCCTTAGTAGCCCAAAGTTTTGGTTTGTTTATTGGGGCTATTATGGATATCAAGGTAACATTTGATTTTTGAATTTAATTCAAAAAATATTTCTGTTGTTTTTCAGAATGGTGTCATTTTTGGACCGTTTTGTTTCCTACCGTTCACAATATTCTCAGGGTTTTTTGTACAACTCAACGACTCCCATCCATACATGCGGTGGCTGTTCCACATATCATTCTTAAAATATGGCCTAGAGGGATTAGTTTTATCCGTTTTGGGGTACGACCGTGGAAAGTTACCATGTAATGCCGATTATTGCCATTTCGTCTATCCAGAGAAGTTTCTGGATCAAATGGACATGGAATATGCTCAGTATTCGACGGCTGTGATTTTTATGTTAGGCCTAATTGCCTTTATTAGAATTGCGGCCTATTTTGCCTTGAGCGTACAAATAAAAAAGCGAACGTGAACTAAGTCACTTAGGTTTAAGAGTTATTGTTTTTGTAAAACAAAACACGTTGTATTAAAATTAAAACTTACTGTTTGCTCAAACTTTTCAAAGTTTGTTACGAAAATTCTGAGCAATAAACATCGTGTCTACCCTTAGTCGCGTGCACAATTATAATAACATTTTTCTAAAATCGGTGCTGTACCTAGACTTAGTCTGTTTGCTCATTTGAACGACGTAAAGTTTTTTTTATATGCTAAGGAGGCATACAGGTTGAGTGAATTTTATATGTATTTATTAGCAGTCAGTTGTTTTGTACGTTTAAGCAATGAACGTATACATTTATACTTAGATTATTTAAAAATGTGTTCATAATCAAATGTGATAATGCCCTTATATATTTGTATGTTAATTAAACAGATGTGTATTTAGTGGGTTTACTTGATTTAAAGAGGACTAGTCTTAGTTGTTTGTTTAGTGTCAAAGATGTCGAAGTAACAACATTCCATATCGTTAGCAATCGATTCGTTGCTGATATTATTTTAGTATCAGTTTGCCGACTATTACCATAGAATAGGGTTACTAACACACAAGCTGTTTATTAAAGCTTTAATATGTTCTCCCCCAATACTTGTACAAATTTTACAGAGCAGATGGACAAGATTTATTTTTTTTAGTTGTCAAGTTAAATGTAAAATACGTACGTATTATACAAATATTGTTACACATGTTGTTTTATTAAAATAACAATGTATCAATTGGATTAAGATACATTGCATGGACCAAAATAAATAAATACATGAAAAAAAAGACAGAGTAAAAAGAAAAGCTGCAGCATCATTGTCAAGTTGATCTGTCCAGCCCATAGATGGCGTCAACAACTTTTCTAGTCCGCAACAGAGATAAGATATTTGTAACTCTCCAGTAGAGATAAGAAGATAAGTCACTCAAAGTTACCCCAAAACCAGTAAACATTGTGGTACAAAAAGTACTATGGCGGGCTTTTAAACGAAACATGTCCAAGCAATGATCGTTTGATTTCATGGCATGTGAATATCGTTTGAAATCAATAATTATTTTCAAGTCCATAATAATTTTTTTTGCTGAAGATCAGCTAGCACTAGTAACGCAGCACGTTTTCTTTCCAGGCCACTCCATATTATCATAAATAGGGTTATCAACACGCAAACTGTTTATTAAAGCTTTAATATGTTCTAATATTTGTACAAATTTTACAGAGCAGACGAACAAGTTCTTTTTTAGTTGTCAAGTTACACACAAATATTGTTACACATGTTGTTTCATTACAATTTACAGTCAACAAGTTAAAAAACAAAGTATAAAAATAACTTAACATAGAACAATAAATATAAAAATAAAATAACACAGCCTTACGTTCTATCAATTAAGATACATTGCATTGATCAAAATAAATAAATTAATCATTAACGGACAGCCATAAGTTTGTATCTTAGAAGTACATACGCTACAATTCGCAAAAAGAATAGAGTAATAAGAAGAGCTATAACGTCATTGCCAAACTGGCCTGCCTTCATGGCAACATCCTGGAGAAACTTCTTCGGATATTTATAATGGCAATACTGATCTTCAGGACAATAAATAGTTGGTCTGTCCATCCCGTAGATGGCGTCAACAATTCCTTCCAATCCGTATCGGAGATAAGATATATAGCTCCCCCAGTAGAGATAAGGCGGTAGATCATTTAAAGTTACCCCAAAACCAGCAAACATCATCATCGGTACTGATAACGTCGGACCCAGGAATGTGCCATTCTGCAAGATTTCGATAAGTCTTTCCTCAGGCTGTTTGATCAAGAGTTACTTACAATAACATTGAACACGGCGCCGACCATTAATCCGAAACTCTGGGCCACAAAAACAACCAACATGCTAATGATAAAGAACATCGTAAACCGATCTTCTTCCAAAGGCTGACCAGTCGTATAATAAATTATTACGGAGAAAATAAAACAACATACCACCTACAATGAACATGTGATTCGCTTGACAACAAAGATAAAATGAATCCTTACCGAAATAGGAATGTCTATCAGCGTGACCGAAAGGTAGTACATCTTCAATGAATACCATCGGTTAAAGTGTTCTTTTATCAAAATGGACATCTCGTTAGGAACTACACAAACAATACATTAATAAATAGTATGAAACTGTTTTTGTAACTTACATGTGAGGATGGTAAGCATCATGGTCGACATCATATGGTGCATCAATATTGAAAATAACAGGTTATAGTTGTCTAGGACTTTGGTACCGTCATTTCCCGCTCCCCAATACAAAGTTCCCAACATAAGACCAACGATTGCGTTTACTCCGAGACGCATGTATGTTAGAGTCTTGAAAAATTAAACATTTGCATATTCAGATTTTATTTACAACAAAGTGTTTACCTGGTCTCGTTTTGTTTTGATATATCCTCGTCTTAGTAATACTTTGAGTTGGTTCATTGAGCTTGTGGCTTGTAGACCGGTTTCGTCGTTTAAATCCTCTTGATTTTCCTCGGTGGTAGCATTTCCACCTGCAACGATTTAAAGATTTTAAGTAAATTTAAACGCTCCTAAAAAGTTGATAAAAGGAAGCTGAATTTGTAAATAAGTATCATACTTGCAACAAGTTCATAACACGTGGCTTTAAATTTTTTATAATTTTGCCTCCTATAAGGAAACAAACCGTCGATCATGATTAGAATAACGTTATTCAGCTGGGTATATAGAATACAAGATGAAAATTTAAACATAGTTTATATTTCATCTGGAATGCTTGCACAAGAAGCTAATATTGATCTATGACGCGTGGCAACAACTTCAGACTGTATGGCTCGAGTGGTTATCAACAATCAGTCTTATCTCTGTGTGAAAGCAAAGAATAAATTTAGGTACATATTTTTTTATGATACGTAATAATACTAATAATAGTATTAAAATAAACTGATATCAGTATAAATAATAATTATTTGAATCTGCGCGTTGACAAAATTTTTGATTTTTTGTCTTTCGCTTAAGTAAATTAGCACTAAAATGGACTTTGGAAGTTCTGTGATTGATAACAACATCTGCCACAGCTGCTTTTAACGATAATTACGTTAATCTAAAAATGTCAAAGAAAAAATCGCTTTTGTAACGTTTCCTTGTTGGTCAACTGATAAAACATCATTTAGCCACCGAATGATCAAGTGCATTAAAGCCGCTGACTTCATACTTTCTTTAATAACCAACTTGATATTTTACTATTTATAACAAAGTGATTAAAATATAAGCCAAGACTAATGATCTGAACTACATTATCTTAAGTATGTGGAGTGTTCAACAAAAAAAAGCGGCGAAGTGTTTGTACAATTTATGTATATGTTTGTACAAGAGTGTACAAACTACTTACCTAAGTAACGATTCAACGCGGGATACACATCCTTGTTGAAATATGTTAAACTTTTTCCATTATCGGCTGCCTTAACCATTTCATCTATAACCTCGGACCCATACTCTTCGCAAGCAATTTCGATAACAAAGTCTGCGGGATTATGGTATGCCGGACATGGGTGTTTTACATCTTCTAAGAAGGGTACCAGATTTTTTGTGCTGCCTTGATATAAACACCTGCCCGCAGCCAAAACGTAAACTTGATCAAATAACTGGAAAAGTGAAGCGGACGGTTGATGGATGGTGCATACTATTGTTCTGCCCTCCAGTGTTAAGTCTTTCAGTAATTTGATGCATTGTGAGCAGGAAGAACTGTCTAATCCTCTGCAAAGAAAATGTTGTTAGCTTTTTTGTTAGAACGTTAGCAGCGTACACATGTATGAAGTTTGTTCAAGGGTATCAGAAGTTATATTCATTGTTTGTTAGTTTTATTAAAAACTTAACACCTGTTCACTTGCGCTATTTGAAATGTAACTTATTTTAAAGGTGTCATGTGTATGCCTTTTTCAAAAATTTTAGTTGTTTTAAAAAAGATTTCAAAAATTAAAAAGTATTAGGCCATAGGTATTTAGGGTAATTCGTTTAGTCGCAAATAGTTTGGTTACCAAATCTGTAACAGACCAGGGGCAAATGATGGATATATACGGAGCGGACCCAACTACAACTAGTAAAATCCGCATATAAACTTTTAATAGTCTTACAACGTATGATTAAAAACAACAGGGGCAGCGAATGGTTATGAAACACCAAAAAAAAAAAAAAATAGTTCCATTTTGAGGTCATCGGATAAAATCCATTCGGAGGGCATACCCCTTGAGTATCTCCGGCGGGCATTTCATAACCTTGCAATGACAAACTTATGATATAAGAAAGTGAGGACACTACATGTAAAACGAAGCTGCGTCCTTGTTCTGCCCGCGGTTATCTTTTCGCATTTCCAGATATTGTTCGGATTTGGCGATTGCATAATTGGAATCAATCGGACTATATAATTTTTAACATCGTTTTTATAAAGAAGAGTGTCAAACTGTCAACAGTGTTTAGCTGTTTCCAAATTCGAAAATGTTCAGAGTGGACTCAAATTTTTCCGTGGATACATATTTTTACTTTATATATTTACTATTTTCTTCTAAAAAACGTCAACATAGCAGAATTTGATTGCTGTTTACCTAAACAACAGGGTAAGTAAAGATCAAAGACATTTCTCTGTGTCTACAAGAGAATAACAACGTTTGTGGTAATTTTCATGAGAGTAAATTTGTTTACTGTCTGCTGACGCATATTATAGCTTTAAAGGTGCTCATTCATTCACCTTTATTTGATGAGGTATGTACAAAGAAGGTGGAAGAAGAATATTTCAACCACATGACTATATTTTTTATACTGGACATGGAAAAACAGTAATTTTCAATATTTAAAAAATTATACCGAAATTTGTGTCATAATTAGCAAAACTAATCTTTTAGCTCGCTCCACTTGTATTAAAATGTATCAAAACTGATATCTAAAGATGTTGGTCTTGGATATATGATATGTTATTGTTGATGAATGGCTGATAAAAGCGGAGACGGAGACCAAATCATGGCTAATATAGACGTTTTGTTTGCATCGTTGCCATGGAAATCGTGCGTCTAGTGGCGGTATTTAATTTTCATTCTGCGCTAGTGAAATTGTTTGATTTTAAATAAAAATAATGAATTCGGTTGAATATTTAATAAAAAATCGTCCTCTGTATCATGACGGCAAAATTTTAGTGAAAAATTTAGAGAGAGCCACCCCCGATTTATTAATAAAAAAGTGTTCAAGGCAAAACGAAACATTTTCGTAGATATTTTACGTATGATAAAATAATATTGAATGTACAGTTGTGAAAAAAATAATAAATTGCTTTGTTTTGTGTGTCTTCTCAGTAATGACTTAAACCATAGCCCTGGATTAATACTGGCGTGGATGATCTACGACACGAAGGTATGTGAAAAATACTTTTCTACTTTTGTTGAATGTATTTTTGTATTTATTTCCGTCACACAATTTCGTCTATTAAAAGGGTAATAAAAACCTGTTTTATATCTTCATATATAACTCATCAATCAAATTGTGTCCCCCATTTTAAAAGACCACTATCCGCCACTGGAAAATTATCAGATTAAATAAAAAGAACAAACCAAAGAAATTAAAACACTTATGAACTGTTATTTATTAATTAAAAACAAATGCCGATACGTCTTGGATTATCCTTTGCGACCCCAATGTAGCAAAATTATTATGATAGCATTGAAAATAGAAATAGAGAATAAAATACATATACACAAAAATAACAGTTTATGGATCAAATGAAGGAGAATCAATGAAAGAAGTAGACAAATAAAGCATGGGAAGGATTCGGAGTAAACATGGTAAAAAATGCAGTAAACTGAAAACTCTAAAGAAAGAAATAAGAAACCCCATGTGAAATATAAAAGACAAAAAAGGGGATGTGATTACAAAAGAAAATAAAATTATGGGTAGATAGAGGGAATATTTGGCAGAACTATTAGGAACAGGTGAAGAACAGAAGGTGGAAATACAAGAACAAAACACTGAAGAAGAGGAAAGAGAAATTGAAAGGAATCAGATGGCAAAAGCTATTGAAAGAATGAAAATAAAAGCGGCCCTTCCAGGATCAGACAATGTAAGTCCAGAAGTGGTAAAGTACATCGGAGAAGAAGGAAATAAACTTATTACATAAAGTACTAAAAACATCAAGAAAATCTAATAAAATAGCAAGGGAGGTTCTACGGAAGAGTGGCATAAATGGAAAACTAATAAAAACAATAAGTAACCTATACGAAACAACAGAAAAAATAGTAAAAATAAAGCGGAAAACAATGAAAAATTGTATTTATTATTTATAATGATATTGTACAACATAGCAAAATAGATAAAGAAATGGGAGAGGCGGACCCAGCTAGGCTACAGAAAACTAAGATCAGTAGAATTGAGTAAACTACTTTACGCGGATGATTTGAAAATATTTGCAAATAACAGAAGAGAATTAAATGTATCAGATCGTCAGAGAATTAAAAAAATATAATCTAAAAATAAACACAAGGTAGTCAGAAATAAAGACAATAGCAAATGAAAAGATAAAAGCACCAAGAGATATGCAAGAAAAGGAAATAAGAGAAGTAGGAAAAATAAGATATCTAGGAGCAATAGGAATAGAAAAAAAAATAGAAATGTAGGAATAAATGGGGAACAATAATTTCTACATCCACGGTGGAAAAGGTCAAGAATAACTAAGTATGTTCTGCTCTTATCAATCATGGAGAGATTGAGTTTAACATCGTTATAATTTTAGGTCGTCACTTATGTCGACAAATGGCATATAAGGCTTATCTTGGGAATTTTTTTATAAGTGGTTATATCTTCTCGCCTATTTTATAATATTCCTTCACAATTCGTTCTGGAAATACATACATGCGAAATCAACGAACCAAAAAGCTACTTTATTTCTATCTGCCAACGAGCTGAATTCTTCTTTCATTATTTGCCACTCATTCTAAATATCTCTAGCGCTGTTATAAACATTATTTTTATTGCTCATACAGCGGAAGATTTTTTACGAAATTCTATCACCATTAACCATTGTTTTTTGTCTTGTTTTGAATATTAAAGTATCTATGAAATTTTAAACATCATTAAGCTACAAGATATCTGTAAAATACAGACTTTTGACATTAGCGCTAATAACTTAAATGTGTTAGTTTTTAAAGGACACGTGTAAAACAGCGATAGTGTTTATGTATCACAAGGTTAAGTTTTTGGGTTACTTTTGTTGCGAATTAAATTATTAAACCCTCGACAGTCGTTGGCGTTTTTGAGCAAACGGTTTACCTACAAGAATCTGTTATTAAGTTCTAAAACAGCACCTACCATTTCACTTAAACAACTTGATTTCAATATGCAAAATATCTTGTTATTTTCTGTTAAGCTTTCAACGTAATGCATTTCAAATTAATGTTGTCATTTAAATGTCTTAAAATGCAATTATGCTAATTGTTAACCTTTAATTAAATAATTTCTATAGTGTCGTGCTTTGATCGGTTTGCATGGCAAAGAGAAGTTCAAAAATAACATTAAATGCCATAATATTGCAAGTGGAAAAAAACCTTGTCTTTGGTGTAACGTAATAATACTTATACACTTCCTTTTTTTCCAAACAATGCGTTATTGCAACCTTAGTGAAGTGATTGTTATGTGACAGCTAACTGATAAATTGTTTATGTGAATGTACTTCGATACCGTTTTTGTTTCAACCATTTGTTCCATAACAAGTCTTTTTTTTATTATACGTTATCGAAAAAAAATGAAGGATTAATTCTTTCATTGTTCTTTTAAATGTTTAGATAGATTTTTAACGTCTGTCTGTCAATAAATTACTATTATTATTACTACTGTTAACTATTTGGATTTATTTCTGGAGACACATCTCTAAAAAATATATGCAAGAACTATAACCATTGAAAATAAAAAAGAGAACTTTTGTAAACTAGGCCTTCTGACTACCGAACGGAGCAACGGAAATGACAAAGTTCTAATGCAATATTTGCTGATATGATTATCGTTATCATAGCGGTGGATTTAAGGGATCATAATTAGTCGGTTACTGATATTACTTTATCGCGGCTCGACAGACACAAAAAAAAATAAAAGACGTCGGCATGCATACATTTAACGACATATTACTAGCGTATTTTCATAATTGTTCTGATATATTTTCCAGGTACCCATAAAATGTAGTTGACCCTCAGGGTACGTATGCAAAAATGTCGATAGCCTAGCTTTACATAATTTACGGTAGATGTTGATGACGCAGGTATTACATTTCAGAGTTTCGCTGATGTTAGTATTAACCTTCAAACCTACTAGTTTTTCGAAACTAGCACTAATTAAATCGAAGAAAATAACAATGTTTAAAGATAATGCTTTTAATGTCCTCAAAACACAATAAATAAAATTATCTTCAGCAATAACTAAAAACATACATACGGGACTGGAACGTGAAACGTAAATTAAATAGTTACAGAATAATTTTTGTTGATTGCATTTATCAATTTTGTTCACTTCCTTTTCCCACAATAACTACAAGAGTGAGTACCCATTTACTGATAACAGTATCAGAACTTCGTTTAAAATCTGCCGAAAACTCCGGATTATTTCTTAACGACCTCGTGATTGATAGTAACAACATGCCGAGTTTGCTTACCAAACACATTCTGTTTAATGAGTACAGCACATTTCGCAATTACATAAAACTTACGTTGTAGGTTCATCTAGGAACATCACGGTGGGATTATTTACAAGTTCTAGCGCAATCGAGAGCCTTTTCCTTTGACCTCCTGAGAGCCCTGAGGCTTTAGTTCTTGCCGTTTTGTCGAGGCTTAACAACTTGAGAATTTCATTAATCTGAAACAAAACAGTTTAATCTAATAAGGAACGGTTTTTATCAATTAAACAAGTACGCAAAATATATATTATGTTGTCCTAGTTGTCTTATAAGCGCTTTCATGGGTCAGAAGTTGTGATAAGATGCAGCACGCGTACCTACATATTATCATTAATTTTTTACACATCAACAACGAAGAATCTTTGATTTATTATTACTTCTGTACACAACCTTGACGAAAATAACCATCGAAAGGTCAAGACAACAAAGGCTTTTCCACTTACAGTTTTATTTTTTTCAGTCTTGTTAATTTCAGGTGGAAGTTTTAGGTCCGCTGCTATTTGCATATTCTCGGAGGTCGTTAACAAAGGTTGTAATCGGTCATCTTGCTGGATATAACAAGACGACTTTCTGAAGGTTTTTAAATTTCGGGGAACACCGTTCGTGCGAACTGTGCCGGATACTCTTCGGATTCTGTAACCACTAAGGATATCCAGTAGGGTACTTTTACCAGCGCCTGAAGGTCCCATAATAGCTATCAACTGGCCAGGAGGAAACCTTCCATTGATGTCATGAAGAATTTGTTTTGTACCTGTGTGATAAATGGTTGTTAATGCTTTTGAATAAAAATGAAACGTGACAATTATCAAGCATTCGTTACGATTGATACAATGTAATTACATAGATACAAGTAAAATTAATTCATTTAGGCTAGCAGGTCGTTGTAGGTAGAGCTGAACTCGAAGGTCTCCAACAGACCTAATTGCAGTTACTTATCTTTTACACGATAGTTTAATGACCAAAGAAAAACTAGTTCTGCTGTTCTCATACGTCACATGGCAATGAACTACAACCTGTATAATTGTCGGAAATTTTCAAAATCGTGCATGAAAACAATGTTATCATAGAATCTTATCACAACGAAATACCGTTAATTGATGAAACCAATAAATTTTTTTACTCGTATCTTCAATAAAAGTGCACGATAATGCGAATGTAAACGCTCCAAATATAACTAGTTAATTAAAAAAATCTTAAAACCTTTTCGAAATCCAAGGGATGCTGTGTAGCAAATATTTTCAAACTGAATGTCGATGGTCTGCTCCAATTTCGTGAAAGTACTTCTTTCAGTTCCTTCATATTGCGGTAAGATCACTGGTTTTTCTACACTGCCACCGTTGTATTTAACACCACTTTCACTACTATTGTTTTCATCATTTACGGTGCTGGCTTCGTGCATAACAACTTCCATGTTCGAGTTGTGCACTCTTTAGAAACACATGGAAGAATGAACAAAGTTGTTTGCGGTCGCGCTTATTTTCTAATGAAATAACATTATCATGTTTTGGTCACTTATATAGACTGAGTAAAGTCAAACGGATTGGACCGAGACTAAAGTTCATTTATCGCAGTTCTCTACTCGTTTTGTCATCCATGGTTGTTGGGAAGAAGGTGCATGACATTTGTCATGTTTGAATTATGCATCATACAGCTGTGGGATTTATCTATACGTTTTTAATGATAGGAATAGTTTTTTTATTATGCGATTAACACTAATTTTAGTACATTGAATTCATGAGATTAGTCGGTGCCGTAGATGTCACACGTAATACACGTCCAAGTTTTACCTGTTCAAGGTTTTCTGGTTTTTTCAGTCAAATTATAATTCGTTCAAGCAGTTTGCAAATTTCCAAGGAGCACAAAGTGCAGTAATTTACATTAAAAGTAAATCCTTCGAATTTTTTTCTTTTTCTCTTTAAATATAAAATAACTTGTTTTGCTATTATATAATGCATAGATATTTAATTATTCACCTGAGACGTTCGTTGACTGCAGGGAACACAAAAAAAAGAAAAACAGGTTTTTCAAAAATTCTTGATATTTGCTAAAGTAGTAGAGTTTATCTGACACTGTAAAACACTATTGAGTCCTTCAATATTACCAAAATTTATCTATTTGTAACTATAGTTTCTTCTAATGTTACCATTAGTATAAATGGTGTAAAGTGAGCAAAATACTAATTAGTGTGGGCTTACAAATTCATAGAATATTGAAAATATTGTCTTAAAATTGAGTTACTAGATGACAGTAGCACAAATATTCGAAGTTTGCAATTTATATTCGTTTCAATCGTTAATAAATTATTGTCTAGAGGTACAAAAAGTGCAAAAACTCTTATTTGTATTTCACCCCTGGATGTTTTGGCAGAAAAGCAATGAACCATTAGCGAAGACGGATTAAGACATAAAACTGATCTTATAACTACATGAAGCCATTAACCAACCTCCGCTCTCACCTCATGCACTTTGTTACAGTCATCAAGAAATTATTTCACTGACCGATGATGAAAGTAACTGTTAAACTAATGTGCATGTCCTCTCAAGAAGATTTCTTTGACTTTAATAAAAATTCTTGTAATAACAGAGAATATTATCTGTGTCGACACACTAATGCTGTTACACACAAACAACATCGTATACTTTGAATGTGCAGCAATCATTCTGCTTTATATTTTTGTTTACATAATTATATTTGCTTCTTAATATAAACTGTATTTTTGTTAAATTGAAAACATTGAATTTGAAGTCAAGTTATTTTCTCCATTTTTAAATAAAAATGTTTTAGATATTACCAACATAAAAAAGTAGAAAATGTATGTTGCATTTGCCAAGAATACTTTCATACAACGATTGATCTAATATTTAAAAACAAACATTATTTCTTTGGGATACTATTTATTTTCCAAGATAATGATAATATGGCATAAGTTATATAAACAAGAACAATTAATGGAACGTACAGCACTCGTGGAAAAACTGCTTGAAAAATTGCTCATTTAAATTTATAATAACACAAACACGTTGTTTTTGTGATATAAAACCACAAACTGTAGTACGTTTTATTTACATTCCATAATTTCTCGGAAATACCTAACCAAGCCCATAACAAACCCATTTCAAACGATTATTACCTAAGTGCTATCCAACCCAATATTTTTAAAATAATTTTTTAAGCATTAATTTCTGTTTAGATATAATGTTTATGAAGGACGTTAAAAATTTTTACGAAACACCAAAATTTTGTGTTTTATAAATTTTTTGATATTTTTGTTTTTACGTGTTAAATTTATCGATGCGCTTTACGGTTCAAGGTTTCACATTTTGTCATCCAATTTACATTCTACAATAATAAATAATGCAGAATTTGTGCAGAGGTTTTACCATATTTGTAGAGAAAACACAAGTTGGAATGTTATTGACCTTTGATGTTTCACAGTCACTATGGTAATAAAAATTTACAGTGTCTGCAGAATTTGCAATTACTCGTATATGCTTTTTTAAAATTCTGTTACAATAATTAAACTTTTATAACATTTAATTAACTTTGCAAACTAATATTTTAACATAAGTGAAAATAGTGCATTTACATTTGTACAACTGTAAATATTTTATGTTATTATGATACAATACATTTTTACAAGTTTTTACTAGATTTTTTGAAGATTTAGTCCCCTAGTTTTATCGTGCAAATTATACATATGTACTTCCGAAAACGTTGAACACTTACTTGTAAATTACTCACCAACAATAGTTTCAGCGTGTTTCAAAACTACACAAGAATAAACAATAACCATGTTACAACATTTTACGAAATTAAAAAAACACTCTATATGCAACAAGAAACTAAGTAGAGGAAATATAAACTCCTATAAGGATTAAATTTTGGGTGATTAAAAAAGGGTTTCATTGTATCTCTGACATTCACAAAATGAATTGCGTTGCATACTACAAGCCTCTTTTCCATTATTATGCAGCTCTTGATAGCGATGAAGTTCATTACACCACTGACAGTTTGTCTTCCATAGATAAGCTTGGTGCATGGACAGTAGACGAAATTTTTTAATATTTTGTCATTTAGAGTTAAAAATTTATTGATTAAGAGTAACCTGAACAATGTGGCGTGCGGCTTTAGCAAAAAAAATGTCTTTGGTGTTTCACAGTCACTGCGGTAATAAGAATTTACAAGTGATATTCACTGAAAAACAAAATCTAGGAACGCGGAAGTCTATTAATATTCTCATTACTTTGCCTTTTCGCGTATTTGCAATGATAATATAACTACTTAATTTTTTTCAGTTAGTTTAGTTATATATCGAAAATTTATGTAAAGCTTTTTAAATTCAAACCACGAGGTTGTATTTTGTACTTTTACTTTTATATCTATTTTTTACCAAGGCTAGCAAAAATCTTAAAAAAAACATAGTTAAAATTCTGACTAATCTACATTTTCCGTTCTTGACTTCTGATAAACTAGTGAAGTATAGGATAAAGAATATACCCATAAATAAAATTTAGCGCTAAGGCCTATTATAATATAGTGCACAAAAACAATTTTTATTTGTATGCAAATAACATGGAACAGTGGACAAAGCATTTACGCAATTCATAGAACAGAATAAAAGTTCATTATCTGAAAGCCGTGCTTTCTTAACAGTAATAAGTATTACAAGTCATTCGTTACTAATTTATTTCTAAAATTACCCACTTTGTAATACGTTATTTAAAACAGGAAGTGAAACTGTATTATAAATTTGAAGTTGTTAGTGTTGAGTGTGAAGTTCACGTAAGTTGTTCCATTTAAAACATCACATTTTTAAACAGTTTATTTTTTCGATAGTTTCATATATTGAAATCTGAATATATTTTGACGCTTATTTAAACAGGAAAAATGTATCCTTTTTTCCTGTGAGTAGTATACAGTTGTAAAGACGATAATAGCCAGTGTTCGGTTCGTATTATGTACTTTGATTAAACAAAACTGCTAAACTATCTAATACAAGACCTTGGCATTTGAAAAGTAATGGAAATCACAGGAATATTATCGTTGGTGCTAGTGAAGTCCGATAATGCGTATAAAAAGCATGGAATCGGTTAACTATTTCGAAAAATGTTTTTACTTCCCGGGCCTAAGCTCAACAAATAGACAACATGTCGAGGATGTTGCCGTTTTCGGGTAGGTTTTTGAAATATATCAATAGTATAGGCGCCAGGACTATTCCTTGGGGCACACCATCATTTTTTTGATGAGTTATGAAAAAGCACTCTATTTATTTCTGCGATTTGGCTTCCGTTTTCAAGGTGAGATTTAATCATGTTGTATGGAACGTTTTTTATTCTATTGTGTCGATTTTTTCTTAGCAGAACGTGATGTTATATAATGTCGATGACACTACTAAAGTCAGATAAAGCCATTTTTACTGTTTCTTTACTGTCGCGGTTAAAGGACTAAAACTCTTGAGTTTTATCAAAATGTTCTAGCTGTTGATAACCTGGATATTATTTTTCTTACAGAAAGGTGGGCTAGCGATGATATACTAAACTCTGAATTATTTCCAGTTGATTTTCAAGTTTTTAGGTGTGGTCGTAGCTCAGCTGGTTGTAAGTTAATTGAATTTGAAATTGATAATTTTTTGGAAGATTACTTACGTTCCTCCATCTACTCCTATCCTTGGTATATGAGCATTTATTTCATAAGCTAGAATTAAATGATTTGTTTAATGATAAGTCCATTTTTTTGCGGGTGATTTCAATGCTTCACTGTTGAATGAGGTAGCTTGCTCTAAATCTGTTAGTATCACAAATTTTGTTAGTTCTGTTTATGCTGTACAAATTAATAAGGTAAAAAATGTTAATAACAGATGTTTAGACTTGATTTTCTGCTCTAAAGATGTAACATATAGTTTAAGCCACTCAGAAATTACCTTAGTACAAGAAGACTCTCTTCATCCTGCATTGTTATTTGATATTCAATATCCATCTGAGAGGTTTAACTCTTTTGTAGTATCTAGTTCGACATCGTATAATTTTAGGCGATGTAACCTTAATGATTTGTTTAATCTTACAGTTAGTACTGATTGGACTCCGGTTTTGAAACGTAATAATGTTGATAGCGTCTGCACACATTTTTATGCCATATTGAATTCTTATTTAAATCTAATTGAACCAGTTATCTGTAAACGTGAAAGTTCATTTCGTCTTTGGTTTTTTCATAAGAGTCAAAAAACATTACTTGAAAATGAGGAGGTCTACCAAGTCTAATGTTTATTGTGTTTAAGTTAAGAATGATAGCATACTTGTAAAAACGAGTATTTAGTCTAACCATTGTAATTATCCTGCGATGGTATCTACTTGTATCCGAGATGATCCTAAAAAACTGGTCGTTTATAAACAGTCTCAAATGCGTATTCCAGGTTCTATGTTAAACATCAATGGTGATATTATTGATAGTCCCCAGGATATTACCGATGCATTTATGTCACATTTTGAGTCCGTGTATCAAGAAATTCTGCTGTAAATTCAACAT